TTCACACTCTGACTGCCCCTGCCATCCCCATCCGTCTTTCAAACAAGCCCTTCAAGCTCCCCACCACATGCACCTGCACCCAGACCTCCCTCAAGGTGCTTAAAGCATTCTGCTGCTAACCCAAAGATCGGCAGTTCGAATCCACCAGCTGCTTGTGGGAGAAAGATGAGGTAGTGTGCTTCTGTAAAGATTTACAGCCTTAGAAATCCTATGGGGTCCCTATGAGTCAGAATCGACTTGATGGCAGTGGGTATGGTTTGCTTCCATAAAGATTTGCAGCCTTGGAAACTCTATGGGGGCAGTTCTACTCTCTGTCCTGTAGGGGTGCTATGAGTCGGAATGGTTGGAAAGGATGCCATGGCAGTGGGTTTGGATTGGGCTTTGCTTCCATAAAGATTTCCAAAAACCAAACCAAACTTACTGCCAATGAGTCAGATCCGACTCATAGCGACCCCTCCTTGGGTTTCCGAGGCAGTATCACTACAGAAGTAGATTGCCCAACCTTCCTTCCGAGGAGTGGCTGGTGGGTTTGAACCTCCAGCCTTCTGGTTAGCAGTCAAATGCCTTAGGCACTATGCTACCAGAGCTCCCCCATAAAAAGTGCAGCCTTGGAAACCCTATGGGGCAGTTCTAGTCTGTCATCTAGGGGCGCTGTGAGTCGGAATTGACTCAACAGCAGTGGGTTTGCTTTTGTTGTTAACAGCTCCTCAATCTTCCTCTTCGCTAGGGGAATCTCTTCAGGCAGTCCAAGCCCCAAAACCTCAGCTGTGAGGCTCCTGATGTGTGCCCCCAGGCCCTCCCAGCATTCCCTTCACTCCCAGACTCCTCCCCAAGCCATGAGGCCCTGTTGTTGTTGCTATATGCTGTGGAGTTGGACCCGGCTCATAGTGACCCCTCCTTGGGTTTCTGAGGTGGTATCACTACGGAAGTAGATTGCCTCATCTTCCTCCCGAGGAATGGCTGGTGGGTTTGAACCGCCAGCCTTCTGGTTAGCAGTCAAGTGCCTTAGGCACTACGCTATCAGAGCTCCCATGAGGCCCTGTAAGCCTCCCATTCACTCACCCAGGCCCCCTCTTGATCAGCTGACCATCCTGGCACTGAGCCCCCTCCTCCTTTAACCTCTCCCCTCCTACCACCTCATCCGTCCCCCAGGGCTGGAGTCCAATGCCCCTGCCCCACTCCCTTCCCTGTCTTGGGCTGTTTTTGACCGACAGTGATCCTGGGCAGCTGGGGAGGGGAGGTTGGCTGGGTCTTGCAGCCCCCCACCGCCCATCCCAACCGCGTGTCAGAGCCTGGGGGTGGGAGGGACGATTGTGAAAGGCCTGGCACAGACATCAGGACCCTGGCAGGATTGCAACACCCTTTGTCCAGCTCAGCGCTTCCAGTACCCAGCGTCTTCCCAGACATCTGCTTCCCCGTGAACCCAGCACACCCCAAACATCCACCAGATGTCTGCTGTCCCCACCCCACAAGACCAGGGTCATAAACAACCGCCTGCCTGCCCGCCCACCCGGTCTCTTCCACCCTCACCCTGGCCTCTGTGCTGTGCTCGGTTGCCATGGAGTAGAGGCTGACTCCTAGTGACCCCATGGGCACAGAGTAGAACTGCCCCATAGGGTTTTTGGGGCTGTGGCCTTGAACAAGCAGATTACCAGGACTGTCTTCTGAGTCTCCCTGGGTAGCTTTGAACCACCAACCTTTTGGTTACTAGTTAAATGTTTACAGTTTGTGCCACACATGCCCTCCTTCTCAGCTACAAACTCCAAACCACACTCACCGCCATGGAGTCAATTCTGACTCATAGCGACCCCCCACTGGGTTTCCAAGGTGCTAAATCATTACGGAAGTAGATTGCCAGGTTTTCCTTCCTTGGAGTGGCTGGTGGGTTTGAACCACCAACCTTCTCATTAGCCGTCATATGCCTTAGGCACTGCACCACCAGAGCTCCTCAGCTATTGAAAAAAAAAAAAACAACAACCAAACTCACTGCTGTCAAGTCTATTTCCACTCATAGTGACCCCTCCTTGGGTTTCCGAGGAGGTATCACTACGGAAGTATATTGCCCTATATTCCTTCCGAGAACTGGCTGGTGGGTTTGAACCGCCAGCCTTCTGGTTAACATTCAAATGTCTGAGGCACTATAGAACTTCCATTTTTCAGATGGGGTAATGGAGGAGCAGTCAAGACATCCAACAGGTCACTGAGGAGCTAAGCAAGACGGGCTCTTTGCCGCCCTCTCCCCTTCCCAGACTCCAGGCTGTTTTCCTTCATCCCCGAATCCCTGTGGGGAGCAGCCCCTCCCCCCAGCACCCACTTCCGGCCTCTGTTCTGGAATCTGCCTGCTCCAGGCCTTTCTCCACTCTCTTGGCCCGAAGAGGCTGCGGTGCAGTGGGGCACCCTTCTTTGCTAACATGCCTTCCTGGCTCAGAAATACACAGAACCTCTGAGAGGCCTTAGATAAGACATGCGGATTCATGGTTCAGCTCTTCAAAGGGAAGACATGGCTGGTACCACCTCCCTCATGGACATCTGAGGAAAACAGGCTCTGTCTGAGAGGACGGCCACCCCCCACAACCCCCGCACCAGGCACACAGTGAGTCAGCAGCAGCCCGGGCCCCATGTCTCTGTCCCTGGGAGGAGAGCCCGCCTCCAAGGGGTGCTCAGGGCAGCAGCGCCAGGGAGACTGCCATTTGGAACAGGAGGAGCCAAAAGCAGGCAGAGGGCCTGGCAGAGGCACAGGCCCAGGAGATAAAAGTTCAGGCCTCAGCCTGTCCTGAAGTGAGAGCCAGCCTCCCCTTGTCTGAGAACTGAGGGGGTGGGAGAGGCAGAAAGTGCCCCAGGCTCTCTCACCTCTCAGGGGGGCCAACTCCCACCTCCCACCCAGCCCCAACCTCCACAGGGCATGGCGGGGACCCTCATGGGGGCAGTAGGGGTGCCTCTTCTTTTTTTCCCCCACCTGCACCCAGCACCCAATAGGCTCATTGGAAGAGACAAGAGGTAGACAATAGAGCTGGAGGAGAGAGGGTGCTAAGGGCAGAGCAGGCCAGCCTGCATGTGGGAAGAGAGGAGCAAAGCCAAGAGCCAGGTGAACTGCGCACGTAAACATGGCGGACACAGTAAACGTTTGGTCTATGTATCTCACCTCCATATTTTTTCTTTCTTTTAAAGCATATATATAAAAGTGAAGGAGCTCTGGTAGCGTAGTGCCTGAGGCATCTGACTGCTAACCAGAAGGCTGGCGGTTCAAACCCACCAGCCACTCCTCGGAAGGAAGGTTGGGCAATCTACTTCTGTAGAGATACCGCCTGTCAGACGAGGCCAACTCGACAGCACATAACAACAACAAATATAAAAGTGAGAGGCAGGGAAAAGCAGAAACAGGAAG